ATAATGCTAGTAAGGGTAGGGAAAAGTTGGACGCAGTTCGGTTTGGGGGAAGGGGGCATTTTGCACATTCGCTATCATGACGAGCCGTTAGAAAGAGACTGTGGAGCCTGGTGGGGCCATAAGGTATTATCACAGAGAGTTCGTAGGAAACTGCCTGCTAACTCTTGTAAGGAATATCTTTCTTGGTGAAACAACGAAGACGACGATGGCAAGTAGCGAACATGCAAAATGCCTCCCCCCTAAATCGAACTGCGCCAGAAGTTGTTCCTACCTGATCAACCAAATTCAGTAACGAGGCAACTCGTAGATTCGTTTCATCTTCTACCAAATGTTCATATTTAGCAGTGAGAGTCATCGGAATATTTCGCGCTGCCCAGTAGCTGAAGCTGATAGTGCCCTAGAAATAGAGCAATAATACCAATAATCTCATAATGATTAAGCAATACTTCAATGAAATGAAGTAACATACCAGATCTAACGCGCCTTGAATTTTATCACTGGAAAACCACATTTTCATCCACGAGCCGAGTTCCTCACATTGATTGTCCTTAAAATAAAAGTAGTAGTATTCAAAAGAATAAATCAGCACACAATGGGGTGGGTAGGGGCGGAGAATTCATATTAAAACAAACCAAATTCGTTTTCTCTGCGACGAATGACGGAATGTTGGACATCTCTGACAAAATAGCGAGTTTCTGAAATAAATAACTAAGCAGATGCCTAATGCTTCGAACAGAGCAGCAAATTACTCTTTTCTTTGGCAGCTTCCACGTTTTTGAAGGACATATGGCTTGTAGCAACGGTGTTCGGGTTTGGTCACAAAGGACTTCCACCTTTGCCATCGAGGTGCTGGAATCATCGGCTTCAATGACATCCAGTATGGATAACGAGTTCGAATCCATAACAATTAGTAAACAGATTCTGAATCAACTTGTAAGCAAGAGGTTTTATTCACACGACCGTTAGAAAAGAACAGACTATGAGTAAAAGAAAAAAAGACAAAAAGATCAGGCCACGGAAACCCGGCTAAAGAATTGGATAGCGGGACAGCGCAGTTCAGCTTGGTGGGAGGCACCGAATGACACTCGCTATCAGCTAAACCTTTGGTCATCTTATAAAGTTCTGTAATTTCGTGTGACCACATTGGCTTCTTTAGAGTATTTCGCAGCTTAAGAATTCGCAGATCTCGAACATGAACTCACAAAGTAACAAACGAAAGGGCAAAGTGTCCCCTCTAAGCCGAACAGCGCCTGATAGCTGGCTCGCTTGGCTATTACTCAGCCAAACTCGCGCTTTTATCAATGCATCGAAAATAGGGTTGGTCAAAACCACGCCGATTGCAGTAATGGTAAAGTGCCCACATCACGATATAAAGTAAAGTGGTAAAGGTAAAGTGCGATACAAGAAAAACTATCGATTATGTGGGCAGAGGGTCCGTGGTATCATTACTCGTACTCCGTACGTCTGGTGCCACTTGCCCAATGGGCTCGTCATCGAAACAAGGTTAACTAGAGCGAACACATACGATGTCTTGGCTGCGAATCAGTTACGAGAAAGTGTCTGAGCTACCAGGATGAATATTTCGTTGTTGTGTACCTGGGCTATTATGACAACCGCTGAGCAACGTCGCAATTAACTGAATCTTATAGAAATAATAAGTGTTGGACAAGCGTCTCGACACCAAGCGGAACTTGAACCACATCTCCGGGCATGGATTTGACGCAGCGCCAGATCGCTTTTTTCATTTTTCTTTTACAAGCAACAAGATAATATCGTTCGTATCAGTCATTTCCCACCAATATTGTCTTATCCGCTTCAACAACAGTTGGAGAAGGGCGCGGCGAAGACAGCCTCACTGACACGAACCTTCATCAGCAGCGAACAAGTCTTATCCTCTCGCTCGATGGCGTAACGGATGGCGCACTCGCCCCGGAAAGCTTGAAGTGCGGGTTCGAGTCCCGCTTGGATAGAAGACTTTTGCACATAACTCAGGATTCTCGCTAAGAGTACTTCTTCGAATTACTGATGCTGAGAAAGCAGCATTGAGACGGCAAAAATGGACGTATACCAGACCGTACAAGCGGCAGATAAAGACTAGAAACCAGCTATATTTACCGCGCCATCATCCGCTTTAAAGGGTTGCCCGGTTCAAGCACCCTTTTCTTCCCCAAAGAGTCTTGACGCAATACCCTGGAAATTCGGAGGGTAAGTCGCCAGCTTACAAAAATTGACATACCTCGAAGTCTCATTATCCATCGATATAACACGAAATCGTTGCCGCCCAATAGCTTGCACTTTCATGGCAAGCCCGTCACTCAAATATTTGTTTACCTTAAATTCTGAAGACTAATAGAGTGTAAACAATCAGTGAGCGTATTTCGGCTCGGTGGGGGCACTTTGCAAGCTTCCAACCTGTTGATGTCTCCAATGGAGACCTGTCAATTCTCGCACTTCAACAGGAGCTTCATTTCTTGACAGTCTACAGTTACCACCAAAGTAAAACGTGTAAGTTGACAGGAACTAACAAAAGAAAACTAGTGGAAGTGCAAAGTACCCCTCCTAAGCCAAACGGCGCCAACAATCGTTGGTACTTCACGTATAGTCATCGAGAGCGAAAACCTAATTATAGAAAAGCACCACTCTCGAAACCAGGTATCGAAATTTCTAGGAAAATTATGCGTACCTGCAACAAAATCCCGTAGCGCTCTTTGCTATTGCCCGTTTCACCCTGAACAATAGGTAGTAACCCGAGGTAGCTCTTGCCATCGATAGCTCTCTGGACGATAGAGCGAGACACTGTGTTGTGAATTTGCATAGGGACCATTTGACCTACAGAGTCGTGAATTTTTAAAGAACCGCAGAATATTTGCGAAGCAATGAAGTCAATTCTCACCAGGTAATACAATAAGATCCAAGCTGATGACAGGGACCGTGTGAACTTTTCCAGGTTGGAGCCACATTGTAGTTCCCACGTCTACTTCCTCGGAAGCTCGAGCAGGTTTGAACAAATACTGGTGTTTCGAAGACTCCTAGGAACAGTATTCTCCATTTCATGAGACCAAAACTTGAATGAAAAAGATTGAAACAAGGTTTACTTCCCACGACTTCAACTCAGCAATCCGTTATTTTTAAGTAACAAGAAAAAGTCTGCATTCAGAATGAAAGTAAACAGTAGGCCGCTATTCCAGTAGGAAAGCGGCACTTAAAAGCACAAATGCGTTTAAAAAATGGTGAGTTGTGCAGCGTAGACACTAATGACAGGGTGTAATTTACACAGTAGTGAAGGGGGAAAAAACTCGCCTATTTGTCCCATAAAAAGCCCTTTATCGGACCACGCATGTGCGTGTATAAGGCGAGGAAAGAGCGTGGTCGGGCCAGTTCCCACTTGTTAGAGCCGCTCTTTCTCCTTGTCACCTCTTCTAACCATTTGAAATGGATTGAGTTGACAGCACCACCAGGACACCTTTTATAGATGAAAACTGGGAGTTGCTGTGACCAGCGGGCGAAGCCGTAGCCTCTTCACGGACGGGTCCCACTTTATTCAACGGCGACGGAGGGCATTTTGTTCTTTCGCAGCTTAAAGACAATTATCGCGATCAAGTATTGCGGGCAATTGTACTCTGTCATGCACCAGTATTCCATAGTTAGCTTCTCAGTAGAAAAAGAAGCAGAAAAATCTTCGGGAACACCTTGAACCCAAACCTACCTTTAGCAGTGGGGGCGGGGCCTGGACGAGTGTGCCGGGCGTGGCTGCCAGAATTCGATGCGGCAGCCGCAATTGCGTCCCAACTTTCGAAATAGGATACTTTCGAACGTAAGGCAGCGTTCATACTTGTAGCGCTACAGCGTCGCGCTACAGCGTAGCGCTACAGCGCCGCTTCAGCGTAGCGCTACAGC